ATATTCTACTATAAATAGCAGAATTTGTTATTGTAGAGGGATCTTTGGAACAATTTATCATTACGCACGAATAACAAACATCTCGGTTCAAGTTCAAACCGACGTCTTGTAATACAAAAGCGTATTAATAAATCTCATATTTCTTTCTTTTACACCTTGATTACAATTTAAAATCGTTGTACAATTTTGAATAACAACAGCTTGGCGCTAGAATGAGGGCTCCTTAAGTTATTTGGAGTTAAACTTCGACGTTCAATACAACAGTTGTATACATCCACTGAACGTGTTAATATCAATCATTTAAACTTAAGCATGTCACAAACTGAACAACAAGAACAAACTTCGAAGGTCGGACACAGCCGTGATGCTGACCGGTCGGTCGAACGAAAAACCGTACCTCCAGCGATTCCAGATTTTACTGTTCTGTTCCAAAATCCCGAATTTGTGAAGGGCTTTTCCACTTTAATGGCCTAAACTATGCTTGGAACTTCTTAGACAAATCCAGTACAACCAGTTAAGCAACCTATGCCACTCATTCAAGCCCATGTCGAAGTCGCTATATCTCATGCGACTTCGCAGTCACGTCACGACCCCTCTCAACTGCGGAAAGAATGGGTCGTCGTTCAGACAAACGTTAATTTTCATGACGATATGGTTCTACCGGGTATAAATCTTAAAGAGCAAACGGCCGAGAGTCAATCAGACCAACGTCAAATGAACTCAGTGGTTACCTCGTCCGTATTACCACATCCTGTGAAGCAGACCGACTTGCACCAGCAAATGAAGAAAAATCGCTCAGCAAGACATGAGTCGGTCGAGTTGGGGATGTTAAGAAGGAAAATTGCCGAGTTAGAGACCCGACAGAAATCACGTGAAGATCCTCCTCATCGAAATTCAACGTCGGTGCATGTTAATTTAGAAGTTGACTCCCCGCTCGCATCTGAGCTCACGTCGGAACCACTGTCGGGAAAAATGAAAGTTCCTCAAATCGGGTTATATGATGGGACTTCTGATCTTGATGCTCATCTCGGGCAGTACACCTCGTGGATGGATTTGTACGGGGCTTCAAATGCATTACGATGTCGTACGTTCTCACTAACTATGGGACCTCGGGCCCAGAAATGGTACCACTTGTTACTACATCGTTCCAGTTGGAATTGGCAACAATTAAGGTCGGCATTTCAATACCATTTTATTGGCGCACAAGTTTGTCTTATTCCAAAAGAATCTATTGTGAATATTGTACAAAAAGATAATGAAAGTGTGAAGGATTATATCGCACGGTTTAACGACTGAGTCCAAAATATGGAACCGTGTCATCCTGAAGCGCTTCTCGTCTCTGCCATAGTTGGCCTTAAACCGAATTCTCTCTTCCGATGGATGTTATGTCAAAATAAACTGGTACTTTCTAGGAATTTCTAGCTCGAGCACAACAACACATCATAGCAGAAGAATCCATGACGGTTCCAAATTTTGACTTCACCTCTAAGGATTTGAAGTCGGAAGTTACTGGAAAAAGAAGATCAATAATAAGAAATTTGTTGGTGGGAAGTTTGGAAAGCCTCAAGTCGGAGGACCACCAAGAGGGGGTCCAAATGACCTTGAAGTACGAATGGTGAATATACACTATGCCGAGGAGTTGAAATCAGGATATCAAATTATCTATTCGGCAGGAGCTGCCACTATCTTTGAAGAGTTAAAAGGGAAAGGTATTATTCCGGATCCTCGGCGAATGAAGACTCCTGAAGATCAACTTGATAAATCCAAATAGTGTGCCCATCACAAGTCTCTGGGACATAACACCGACGAGTGTCTAAGCTTGTTGTCAGTTTTGCTTAGACTAATTGGTAATCCTCAAGTTAGAAGATTTGCCAAAATCCAGATTTCAAACGAAAATGGAGAGCAACAGATATTCCCGATGAGAATGAAGATGACGGGGATGTAAATCCAAAAAGAATCTGACAAGGTGATAGAGAAGTTTTTACACTTAAGTCAAAAAGGTTAAAAGAATCTAAAAGAATTCGGATGGATTCACTGACACCAACGTCCAGTGATTACATTCCTCGAATTAATACTAGTGATGGAAGACCAACGCTTTTCTCACCGCAGAGCAAAAGCAGACGCCCGAGATGCATACAACTCTGGAAAGCATGTTATAACTACCGACTTGCGAGAAACCATCAACTCTCGCAATTTTCCGATAACGTTTAGTGCAAGAGATGCTAGTTTGTTCACACACCCTCATTCCGACGCGCTGATCATTACTGCACTAATCTGTGATATCTCTGTTCACCGAATTTTAGTAGATATCGGTGTTTATTCAAGCATTCTCATGCAACAAGAATTCGAGAAAATGAGGATTGACCCTGCGGAGATTAAACCTTGTAACGATCGTATACAAGGATTCAGTGGAAGCATTCCACACCCTTTTGGCAAAATTACTCTTCCTATCTTAACTGGGACCCCGGGGTCAGTCTCAAAGGTTATCATGGAGACCTTCAAGATAATGGATATACAAAATGAGTATAATGCGTGATTAGAAGAACGACTTTGTATAAACTCCGACCCGTCGTATCAATCTTCCACTACGCTCTCAAATTCCCAACGATGAATGGGGAAGGAACACACTACGATGATCAACAAGAAGCTCAAGGATTGTCTTTTACCACTCATTCCCGAGAGATTCATATGATGGAAATTTCTTGCGAGGATGTCGACAGCAATGAAGGAAATTCAAATAAAATCCGACATGGTTCCGAATCATCTCCTAGCACCTCGAATCATCACGAAGCCGAGACACTTGATTCATGTCCGAGGGCCACCTCAAATGCTGATAGCATTCCTGAAGAACACGATTTGACTCGGGATCGTGGCAGACGTCCATGGAAAGAACCTGTTAAAGAAGACGACGAATTAGATCCTCGAACTTTATTCAAATAAAATAAAAATCATGATCGATCTGAAACTATGGAAGAAATAGAGACGATCTATATCGATGGACCAACATCCTCCAAGTCGATCATGATTGGAGTTAATATTAAGAGCCGATGAAAATGCAACTTATTCAATTTCTTCAAGATAACTCCAACGTTCGCTTGGAGACATGAAGAAATGAAAGGAATTGGTCCGAAGATAGCTAGCCATTGATTAAATCTAGACAAGACAGTTAAACCTGTCGTTCAAAATAGAAGAAGGCTCGGTCTAGACCGACAAAATGACCTAGAAGATGAAGTCAACAAACTTGTTGACAATAAATTCATTCGAGAAACTAAGTATCCGACTTGGGTATCAAACACAGTCCTGGTAAAGAAAAGTAATGGCCTCTAGCGCCTTTGCATAGTCTTCTTCGACTTGAACAAGGCATGTCCGAAAGACAGTTACCCTCCCCCACACATTGATTACATGGTGGATGTCACTTCGGGGCACGAGCTTATGAGTTTTATAGATGCATACACAGGCTATAATCAGATCCCAATGGATCCCGAAGAAGCCGAACACACCTCATTCTATTCATCTCGGGGCCTTTATTGTTATACCATGATGCCTTTTGGATTGAAGAATGCAGATGTTATATATCAGAGGATAGTTAACAAGATGTTTTCGAATCTTATTTGACAAACTATGGAAGTATATGTCGACGACATGCTTGTGAAGTCGGTTCATGCCACTGACCATGTAAACCATCTGCAATAAACGTTTAATATCTTACGCGAATATTTAGTGGTTCTCAACCCTAAAAAGTGTACGTTCGGAGTGGAATCCGAGAAATATTTAGGATACATGGTCAGTCAGCGGGGGATGGACGCAAAACCCAACTAAAATCCAGACAATCTTAGATTTAACTCCACCAACATCGGTTAAGGGTGTTCAAGCCTTGACCGGCGGACTTGCTGCATTGAATAGATTCATCTCAAAATCAATTGATCGTTGTAACTATTCTTTGATGCTATCAGGGAAAAAAGCAATTTCAATGGACAGAAGAATGTCAAAAGGACTTTTACCTCAATCAAGGTACCACTCACACAACCGACAACTTTGCAAAATACTACTTCTGACGAAATGTTATATTTATATGGGAGTTAGTGATTCGACTATCAGTGTTGTCCTGGTTCGTGAGGAAAGAACTCAACAATATCCCATTTATTACGTCGCAAAGCCTTAACATGACGTCGAGTTGCGTTATCCTTTGATGGAAAATTTAGCATATGTCTTGGTTACAGCAGCTCGGAAGCTGC